AAACAAAATATTACAATTATTGAGATTTGCAATTATTTCATTTTTCCGATATCAGCTGATAATGCCGACATCTTCTTTTCTCTTCCGTCATGCGTGTTGCTGAGTATAATTGTTAACGGCATGTTGCGCAAAATGCAGCACATCGATTGAAAGAAAAAACATACAAAATTCTAACGGTACCAAATTTGGAAGCTAGCGCAAGTTAAAGTTTTTCAATTATGAACACTGCTAGGCACGTGCATATTTCAGACTCCTGCCTCCTCGGAGCGTACAACCGAAGGAAAAAAAAAAAATATGAAAATTCAGCAACCCCTTGATACTTGGGCAATGACAACCGTTGTACCATAATGTAAAAAAAAAAAAGACTACTCCAAATTGAAGTGTTGCCAGGTCAAGCAGCAAGTTTCAGCTCTTAAAGTCGTACGACACCCAGGAGTTCTGCCATTTACCAGAAACGGGAGCTTAAAAGGTCAGCCACCGGTTGACCTTGAGGATTTGCTTTCTTCACAACGCAGGAGCGTTCGATGTTGTTACAGTTTCCGTCATCAACAGCAGGGATGTGTCACAAAGGATGTGACCTTTATTCTAACTGAAAGTAACCATGATACCATTTTGCCCCGAAGGAGTGAGGGTGTAAGTACTTCAAGGAGACAATGTAAGGATACGGACAGAAGAGTCGGAAATATTGAAATGCTGACGGTGACCCGTATTTCATGTCGTTGCTCTAAAAGATTATCAGCTGTCACAAAGCTGTTATGTATAAAAGTGTGAATCAAAGGTCAAATTAACAAAAGGGTTGACTGTACAATTGATGGCGACATTGACGACAAGACTTGAGGTCAAGTGGAGATTTTAGCTGCTGTAATGCGAGATTTCAAGCCATTTCTTGCTCATTTTGTAGACAGTAGGGATAATGACAAATTAGCAACACCTTTATTTGTCATTTGACGTCTTTCAATGTAAGAGAGATCAGGCCACGTCTAACCCCAACAGGCTACCCAGCTACTGGTACAGACCATGATCATCTCCCGCCTGGACTACTGCAACACCCTTCTAAGCAGGCCTCCCAGCCCATAGCTGCCCGCATCAAATTCAAATCACTTATGCTAGCCTACCAGGTACTTAATGGGTACTTAAGCAGTCTGATAGAGATAGATGCTACCCCACGACCACTCAACCGTAGGACTCAGAGATCGTTCCATGCTGGTGGAATGAGTCAGCGAGCACCATCAGAACAGAGGCGCCCTGCCTATATTTTCCAGAAAGGCTCTTGAACACCAAACTATTCAGTCTCTTTTCAGGAGGTTCCTCTATTTAGCTCGATTGCTAATCCTAGTCTTGAAAGTCGCTTTGGATTAAAGCGTTAGCTAAACGCATAAATGAAAAGGTAAATGTATTTGTTGTTGTTTTGTTTGTTTGGCAATTTGCTTAAATTTCACCACCCAGAAGTAGATAAACTGAAAGTATGAATATAACATTTATGATGCACGCCCAGCTAAACGCATAAATTAAAAGGTAAATTGTTTCTTTTTTGTTTGTTTGTTTGGCAACCAGAAGTAGATAAACTGAAAATATGAATATAACATTTATGATGCACGCCGACAAAATATTTGCAAAAATACGTGGCAGAATTTGTACTTCGTCTAACCAGGTTTGTACTGTAGCGTATTTGTTTTTGTCGTCAGTTTTCCCAAACACAGAATCGTCCGCAGTAATAATCAATGTTATTTGATAACTGCCACAAATTTGTTTATTTTATTTTATTTATTTATTTTTTTTTAGAAAGAAAACCACTATGGTACACTACTTTTGTGGCAAATACAGTGGCAAATACAAAGAAAACAGTGACCTAATGTTGTGTAAATGTATACAAAGTAACAGTAACAGATCATTTACCATATTGCACTTCTTATATTTAGTCTACAAATACACAATTAACATTCCTTTATATAGCTGTTGTGGGATTTTTTTTTTTCATTTCGCTCATGATAGCGTTGATTTAGTGTTTAAAACACATTTACTTTCTGGTGAATTACTACGAAAGCGCTCGTTTTTATTCAGCTCAGTAGGAATGATATACATCGAGATCATGATTTATTCACATTTATTTCATCTTTTGTCGAGATGTTGTTCACTTTCCGCTTCTGTATTCTTCGTACGCCTTGTTTTGTGAGTTCTAGTCCTGCGCGGGGATGCCAGACTATTCCATATATTCTCCTTCCCTTTGTAAATGAGTTGATCTTCCTAATGAAGGTCAGGAGAGAGTCACGTCTTTCCCTTTTTTTTTTTTTTGATAATTCATCTCTATCTACCGTTATCACAGTTTGGCCCCTTTAATCCTAATTGTATTGTATAATCGTGGCGATGTGCACATGGCGGTCTTTAAAGTGTTGTCTGGATTCATCCTTTTATTACCTGATGACTTAAATCTATGTGGATTTCTCCCTCCCTCCTCCCTCCTCCCCCCTTCACATTCTCCCCTTCAGTTCATCTTAGTGTTGAAGAATAAAGAAAATCTCTCTGTCGTCTGATATATGTATATCTTTGTTATATATATAAATGTGTAATATATACAGCATTAAAAGGATTCCATTTAAATGCATATCTAAAAAAATGCCTGTCCAACATAGTCATGCACGTAGAAGATACATTTACAAAAGTTTATAGGTTTATAAATGATCTCAGTTTTTTTTTTTTTTTTTTTTTTTTTTTTTTTTAATGCTAAAACTGCTGAAAACACAACAGAATCTTATTAGGCCTCTTGCAGTTCGCTTTTTCTACTAGGGGGAAGTAGTAAGTTCTGAAAACCGCTCTACCGCTTCAGCACCATGGACAGTTACAGGGCGGGGAAACACTCCGCCTGTCTGTGTGAGAAACGGAGAGAGAGGGAGAGAGAGAGGGAGAGAGAGAGTCTGTGTGTGTGTTAGTCGGAAAGAGAGAGTGCGTGCGTGCGGTATAGCTATACTTGTGGGCACTTTTTTTTAATAAAATGCTTTGTTCTGGGAACTCTTTGTGGAAGATGTTTTTTTTTAAGCTCTAACTCTAAACTAAGTCTTAGTTTAGAGTTAGAGTTATAACAGGATCGGTTTGACTTTGGGTTAGGGTTATTACCAGGCGTGCGTTTTGTAATGGTTAAGGTTAGGATAAGGGGTTATGGAACGCATGTGTGTGTGTATGTGTGTGTGTGTGTGTGTGATGACCGGTGATAGCAAACAGATGACAGTAAACCAAGTCTCCTTTAACAAAACTGTGCGTGTATGTACAAATTAGTATTAACGTAAATAACGCTTCACAATAGGAATTTTTAAAAAAACAGTTGTTAAAATAATTATAAAGATAAATATGGGATTTAAAGGCCCATTCGGTTAAACGTACAGCATGTACAAAAAGTAAAATCGAATATAAATTTTAGCAGTTTTATTATACGTTTATGTGTATTTCTTTTAACTGGAAAAAAAAAAAAAAAAGACCTGCCCGTAAATGCAGGATAATTTCAGGGGGATTAAAAAAAATAGATATAATCGAATCATCACCACCACGCTTTCATGTCGAATCCCCAAAACCTGCATTTCTCATTCTGTTGGTTGAATGGCAGGACTTTTCAGAAGCGCATCCACGAGACAATCAGCTCTGGATATATGAAACATAGCTCACTTCCCTCGCCCTGGTAAGGAGAAGGGGAGAGCGGAAGGGGAGGAGGAGGAGGAGATGGCACTGTCCCTAAAATAATTTGTCCGTTATCTAATTGATTGATCTCGGAATGAAGCCGAATGTGCTGCTGCTGATAATGATATTAAATGATCCTTGACGCCACACATCAAACCGCGTATATTTATTTTCTAATAGAAATATAAATAGACACTGTTGCGTTTAAAATGATATTATTTTTTTCCAGGCACACGCACGCGTGCCGTGCATAATACCCCGTGCTAGATTACTGTCTAGGATGATTCTTTTTCTGTAGGAACACCATTATCAAGGCTAATAATAATAATAATGGTTTCATCCAGAGTTGCATAGGGAATTTTTTCTTTTATAAAAATTTTACTAGATAGATAGATAGATAGATAGATAGATAGATAGATAGATAGATTAGCCATTTTTATTAATATTAAAATATAATAATATTTTAGTTTGAAAAAAACGCCCAGTGAAAACTTCACTTCCTAAATTCGATACGCGCTGAAACCGGACAAGCGCTGGATAGACGCGCGGCGCAGCCTAAAACAATCCAGTGAGCTTGAGCTGTGTGTGAATTACCAGACCAGACGACATTTAAGAGATGAATCTGTGTCCGCGCGCGCACACACGCGCGCGCACACTTTGCTGTAATAATCACAGCTGACGAAATCATATCGCGCACACATTAGCCTCGAGGGATTTAACCAGTAGTTCGTAGTGAAATTAGCATTTCAAAGACACGCAGCCGCGCACACACTCACGCGGGCTATTATGCAGCAATTACAGACTTGAAGGAAAGCACGCTTGTGACTCTGACACATTTTTTGCCTCCTTCTGATTTGTAGTTATGTCTGAATGTTTGTTTGTTTGTTCGCTCGCTTTGTTCGTGCTCAGGGATAGCCACTAACGAGGCCGCTAAATATTTTTTTTTGTTATTTGTTCTTCTTTTTTGTAAATGGGCGTCACCGTTTTTCTAAAAAGAGATATTGGAGAAGCGTATTATTATTATTATTATTATTAGTGATCATAATAATGACGATAATAACAACAATAATAATCTGTTTTTCAGAACCCTTGAGTCAATGAGATAACCCTATCGTTTTCACTTTCCTCACGCAAACCACAAACCACACCCCAACCGCCGCACACAAACTCAATATTCTCATTTTATAGCACTTATATACTTTATATAGTATATATACATATATATATTTATATATATATATATATTTATATACGTGGACGGTGCGTAAATGCAGAGCACACGCATGTTTTTTTTCTTTTTTTTTTAGTGAAGGTGTGTGTGTGCGTATTCCCGCCGGGCGCCCTCTCTCGCCGCTGATTGGCCGCACAGGCCGCAGAGTGAACGCCCTGCAGATTATGTCAGATTGCGTGCGGAAAGCCAAACCAGCCCTGCCTTTGAACTTCGCCGCTTTTTGGCTCGTATTCACGCGGCTGCGCTCATTTCCAAAGCAGCAAAGCAGCAAAGCGGCCAGGTGCTCTACAGGAGAGAGAAAAGAGAGAGTTCGGCGTGTGTGTGCGTGTGTGTGAGATAGGACAGTGTGTGTTTCTGTGAACGTGTGTGCGTGTGCAACAGGAAGGCAAAAATAATAATAATAACACTCGAGACTTTTACAACTCATGCGAACCGGCTGTGGAACGTCGCTTTCACCTGTGAGGATTTTGTTACGCGAGCGAATTCCGAGGTGTGCGGGGACCTACAAGCGCATCACTGTTTCAACGACGGGGAGAGAAAGAAAAAAACAACCAAACCTGGATTTTTATTTTAAAACAATATATACCCTCATTTATATATTGTTTTTGTATTTCGATGTCGATTTTTACGCGTCATTTCTGTGTCTATCCCACAAATCCTGGGGCATGACTGCTTTTTGGCACGGGTACAGTTGAAAAGTTTTGTCATTCCCGATAAAAACTTTTTCCATTGACAGTGAGAAAAGGGATAAGATAAGATTTCTTTCTTTCTTCTTTTTTTTTTTTTTTAAACATTTCTTTAAGATGTCAAAGCCTGTTGATCATATCAAGAGACCCATGAACGCGTTCATGGTCTGGTCCCGTGGCCAGAGACGGAAAATGGCCCAGGAGAACCCCAAAATGCACAACTCCGAGATCAGCAAGAGACTGGGCGCCGAGTGGAAGCTGCTGTCCGAGTCCGAGAAGCGGCCGTACATCGACGAGGCCAAGAGACTGCGCGCACAGCACATGAAGGACCACCCCGACTACAAGTACAGACCTCGGCGCAAGCCCAAGAACCTGCTTAAGAAGGACAGGTACGTGTTTCCGCTGCCTTACCTAGGCACGGACACCATGGACCACCTGAAGGGACTGCCCGTGTCCGCCGCAGCGGCAGCGGCCGCCGCCCCCGATTTGTGCTCACCGGACAAAGCTCGCGCCTTTCTGCCGCCCACGTCGACGGCCGGTCCCTACTCTTTCCTGGACCCGAGTCAGTTCAGCTCCAGTGCCATCCAGAAGATGACAGCGGAGATGCCACACGCGCTCAGCACCGCCGCGGGTTCCCTGCCCTACGCGTCCTCTTTGGGTTACCAGAACAGCGCAGCCGCGGCCGCTTTCGGCACTCTGGGCTGCCCGACTCAGCACACGCACACCCACCCGTCTCCCACGAACCCGGGTTACGTCGTGCCGTGCAATTGCTCGGCCTGGTCGACGTCCAGTTTACAGCCCCCGGTGGCCTACATACTGTTTCCAGGTATGACCAAGACTGGGATAGACCCATACTCATCCGCACACGCCACTGCCATGTAATCCACTTCAACCCAGGACTGCTGCTGCTGCACTCCCCCTTTTCTTGTTATCAACTCATTTGACATGCATGTAAATATGAACAGATACTTAACAAAAACAAAAAAACAAACAAAAAAAAACCAACAAAAACAATCGAGGCATGAACAGATAAAATGCCTTCCTGGACTTGCTCGATCGAGGCATGAACACAGATAAAATGCCTTCCTGGACTTGCTCTTAAGAAAATAAAGACTTTTTCAACAAGTTGCGAAGATGATACCGCTGGGGATGTGGCGTTAACAAAAAATAAAAATAAAGGGACAGAAATGTAAATGTTTAATAAGATTTATGGCAAGCAGAAAAGGCTGCCTTTAACTTTATTTATTATCTACATTTCAACACTGATGATAGGCTGTGTTAATTATTATTTGCATTTTGTTTTTGTTTTTTTTTAAAAATTGGCCTGCACACTTTAATAGTTACTACTTTGGTACTTTAATTCTGGAATGACGTTGACGAGCCTGTCGAAATTACAAATACAGGTAGAATTATATACGGGTTATATTGTGAACGAGAAAAATATAAAAATAGAATTAGCGAGTAAAGCCTAACAAACTTAACAAAATGGAAGAAAATTTTACGGAGAACCTGTTTTTTTTTTTTCTCTCACCTGTGGTTGAGTGCCGACAAAGTTTTTGTTTTTTTTTTAATTATTATTATTTTTAGTTTTTTAGTTTATACTTCAAGGCTAACTTAAAGCTGAATTGATGAGTTACATATATATGTGTATTTTCTATCCACCAATGGTAATTGGAAACCCTTTTCATGTATGTAAAGGCTCCGGAAGGTTGGTACCGCCTGTTCTGTTTAAAGTGCTGCTGAGCAAAAAAAACGTTTTCAATAAAGACAATCTGTCTTCAAACTATTCACCTCCACTTACCTGCATGGATCCGTGGTACAGTAACTGCTGACAAACCCGGTGTATCAGATCGTTCAGTTTGCAGAACCTCCTCTGACTTTACGTACAAAATGTAAAAAAAACAAAAAAAACAAAAAAAAAACAAACAATTTTAAATAAAAAAATAAGTAGTAATTCTCTATTCAAAAGAAACCATTCAGACAACATACCAGCAATATATCAAATGATTTAATTATACACACAACCTCGCCCAACCTCTACCTTACACACACGCACGCATATATATATGTGTATATATATATATTACATATACATATATTTTATATATTATAACGGAATTTCATCTTGTGAATATTTCAGGTGAAAAACATTCGAATGCATACACGCAGGAACTTTTTAAAATTGAAAAAAAAAAACATAACATAAACATAAAAAATCAATAATATTTTAAAGTTAAACTTTATTTTAAAAAAAAACAAACAGTTGAACTGATTCAGGTTCTACAAAAACGCGAGGGATTTTTTTTTAATTTTATTTAATTATTAGATAATAATGCCATTATTATTTTTATTATTATTGTTATTATTATTGTTATTATTATTATTATTATTATTATTATCAATGCAGTGCGTGATGAAAGTCGTCAGGAGGCTGTGGTTTCTTTTGAAGGCTGACAGCTCAGCAGTTCCTTCCCCCGGAGGCTTTTTTCCCTCCTGTTTGACTCGTCTGTCTGCTTAATGATTTAAAGAAGAGAAAGCTTCTGTTTAATTACAGGTTCATAAATGGAACAGAGTGAACGTTACGTGGGTTCTCTGTGTCAACGTGAGAGACTGTGACTAACTGTGCGTGGAAGGGGGAAAAAAAAAAAGAAAAGGGGAAGAAAAAGACTAAGGTACTGCGAACAATCAACCCTTCCTTCTTGTCCTTGATTCTAATCCCCACTCGTGTTCAAACCTGCACTCGGTCTTCAATCAGCAGCAGCAGTTTATACACGATCCGTGACCGACGTGCATTAATGCGTGTGTGTTTGTGCACATCATACCGCGTCACATCACTGGGCCAATAATTAAAAAAAAAAAAAAAAAACACATTTTAAATCTAGCCCAAATTGTTTACTTATCTGCTAGGAACATATGCTGTGCGGAGAAGGAGTTCAGATCCCTGTTTCTGCACTGTTGCCCAAGGTGCAATTCAATCCTGCAACGGAGAGGAGAGATTTTAATGAAAGGCTCGCATCGTTTCTGCAGCTGAATATGAGACTGATGCTTTTTTTTTTTTTTTTTTTTTTTTGCCCGAGAGAGCGGAGAGAGTATGTAGTTTCCTAATATATATTAGGAAATAATATATATATATATA